TGGTCATAGCATTGTATGCCTTGGCATCGCAAGTGTACATCTAAATACTTCTTAGATGTTATGAGGGTTTCTGCCTCTCACACCCTTGCAGGTCATGGATTTGAGATTCCCACCACACTGAGTAAAAAAACTTTCTTCACATGCCTTCTAAATCTCCTGTTCCTTACCTGAAAGCTATGTGCCCTAGTCACAGATTCCTCCACTATCGGGAAAAGTTCTTTCCTGTCTACTCATCCAATGCCCTTCATAATTTTATATATCTCAATCATGTCCCCCTGCTTAACCTCAGTTATATATGACTTAGAAGCAGAAGTAGGCCACTCAGCCTCTCAAGCCTGCTCCATAATTCAAGACCATGGCGGACTTGATTGCAACTTCAACTCCACATTTCCACCTACCCCTGAATTTTTCAGCTCCTTGCTTATTAATAACCTACTACTGCCATAAAAATGTTCAAAGACTGCTTCTACTCAAGAAGAGTGCTCCAAAGTCACTCAAATCTATGAGAAAATGTTTTCCCTCAATTCAACCTTAAATCCTTTACTATGACCCTAATTCTGGATTCTTCCACATGAGGAGACATCATTTTACATCCACCATGTAAAGACCAATCAGGATGTTAAACGGTTCAATCAGTTCACGTCTTACTCTTCTACACTCCAGTAGAGCAGTCCCACCTGTCCAACTTTTCCCCAAATCACAACACAGGTGTTGGTCCAGTAAACCTTCTCTGAACTGTTTCCAATTCATTTACATCCCTCTTTAGTTAAGGGTGCCAAAGTTGCACACTGAACTCCAGATGTGGTCTCATCATTTAACTCAATTTGCAAGAAACAATAACATTCTATTAGCTTTCCTAATTACTTGCTGCGCCTGCATATCAACCGTTTGAGAGCCATGCAGCAGGTCACCAGATCCCTCTGCATCTCAAAGATCTGCAATCTGTCACTATTTTAAAAAATACGCTGGTCTTATTCTTCCTGCCAAGTGGCCAATTTCGAGAAACTATCCAGAAAATATGTTTTGAACATCTCACAGAGTCTGCCTTTGCCCTCTGATTTTTCCAGTCTGTATGTAGATTAAAAGGTTCTATGATTATCATTGTATCTTTCTGAGAAGTTAACATTATTTCTTTCCAGAGGTGTCCAGAAGATTTGGGGCTTCCACAGCAACAATTACTAGCTGGCAACAGCAAAGTCACAACTGGAGAATGCAGAACTGCTGCAATTGCTGGAGCCCGAGTGGGCATGCCTTAATTTTAAAAAAATCCTGCCTATAATGGCACCGCAGTATGAAACTGCGCTTTTATTCCTGCAGTCTCAGAAGCGGACAACTCAACTGGTAGCATTGCCAAGGCTGCTGGGCCTCTACTTGGACTGGTGAGATGTTGTCCTCAACTGGACAGCCGTAGGCTGCCATTGATAAAATGTTGACCAGGATCTTATTATCTATCTGCATGGACTCTGATCCTGCTTTCAGTACCAACAGTGGGGCTACCTCTAATAAGATTCTGGTCATAGTATCAACAGAATCGGGGGTAACGTGATCTGATTTCAAGTGTGAAACTTAAAGTGGAAAAATATTGTAGATTTCTTCAGTGGGACAAAGAATATCCATTTTATTAGACAAAAGGTCACTTTTGAACTAATTACCAATTACGCGCTATGAAGGTCAAAGAAAAATGATGTTCAAAATAAAAAGCAATCATCTAATAAAATGAAAATAAACTCAAACTAAACAGAAATTAATATTTTTAATATTGTTATTAAAAACAAAATTATCGGCCCTTTGTGTACAAGAATTTATCTCAATTTTGAAAGTCATTCCTTCTCCAGAATACCATTCTTTTAATTTCTTGAGCATATTGGACCTCACTGTGTTAAAGAAAGGGGCCAATAAAAGACTTGAATTTACACAATATCTTTTATGACCTTACGATTTCTCAAAACACTTCACAGTAAATGAATTACTTTTGAAATTTCCTCACTGCGGTAATGAGAATGCCAACTTTCACCTGCAAGCTTCCACAAACAGCAATTCATTAACAGCTGGCTGATCTGTTTTTGTGATTTTGGTTAAAGGATAAATGTTCGCCAGCTCATTGGGAATAACTCCTGTGCTGTACTTCAAAAGCATGCCGTAGGATCTGATACCTTCACTTAAGGGGGGAGATGGGGCCTCATTTGAATGTCTCATTCAATATATGTCATGCCCAACAATGCAGTATTTTCTCAGTACAATGAAGTGTCAGTATATATTTTTGTGATAAGTCTCGAGTGGAGCTTATAAACCCACATGCTTCTCACTCACAGTTCTACCGACTGAGCCATGGCTGACAGGTGCTAACACAGGAAGAAAACACGCTGTTAGCAGAACATATAACCGCAGCTTAGCATATTTCAATCAAAATAGATACTTTCAGATTATACTAATTAAAGAACAGTTTTGCAAAATAACTTACAGAATTAGATTTTTCAGATCTGAAGAATAATTGAGGGACACCAGCTCCATAGCCTTTTGTAAATTTTCACGCTGAATTCCTGCCACAGAGTTGCAAGCTAAGGCCAAAACCACTTTTCCTAGAGAGATCAGATCGGCTTGCTGGTGCAAGAAAACACAAATTGGGAATTGAAAGTACATCATGATGATAAATATCAAGTTCACTTGAAAAACACTGGTTTATTTGTATGTTGTAAATAACTTTACCCATCATAAATCGCACATGGGTTTTAACTCCATGTTTGAAGCTCAAACAAATTTTTACTGCAGGACCAACTGAGTAGCAAATTGCTTCTTCCTGTTTTCAAACTTACTGTTCACAACAGCTTCCACGTGCTGCTAGGCCTCCTGCTATTGTTAATATAATGATATGAAGATGATTTATTTATATTTAAATATAGAACAGCTCTGCTCTTGTAATCATAGCACTAATGTGGCTGATCAACTATGTTTCTAGTCATTGGGCCACTCCCTCACTCCGCCATCCCAGGATGTTGTTGGTGAGGGATTTGACATTGCTAATGGCATTGAACGTCAAGGGGACATATATAGACTCTTATTGGTAAAGCTTCGGGACAGCTCTGAAGAAAGCTCATCAATCTGAAATGTTAACTCTGTTTCTCTTCACAAATGCAGACAGGTTTTTCCAGCATTTTTCTATTCTCTTGATTCACAGCATCATTTGCAAGAATGTAACTCAACTCCAAAAGAAATGTCCTCATTGGAAAACAACTAAAGCTAGGGTACTCAATGTACAATCAATGGCACAAGATCCTAGGCCATTGCTGTAGTGTCCCCATCTCTGAACATAGAACAGTACAGCACAGTACAGGCCCTTCGGCCCACGATGTTGTGCCGACCTATTATCCTACTAAGATCAACTACCCTGCATACCCTACATTTTACAATCCTCCATGTGCCTATCCAAGAGTTGCTTAAAAGTCTCTGGGCCAGAAGGTCTGATTCGATCCCACTTGGATCAATAGTGTGTCAAAACATTTGAACTGTTTATTTTTAAACAAATCTAAAGGCCCATATTTTGTTGGAATGGCACATTTCTCTTTATTTGGATGAAAGAAAATATTACAGATTCTTGAAATCTAAAACAAAAATAGAAAATGCTGAAAATAAATTAATTATCTATGGAGATGCTGCCAGGTCTAAGTACTTTCAATATTTCCAGTCCTTATTAGTTGGAATTACTTGTGCACACTTGGGTTATCTTAAAAATGTTACAAAACATTGTTTGGTGATAGCAAGAACTGCAGATGCTGGAGTCAGAGACAACACAGCGTGGAGCTGGAGGGACACAGCAGGTCAGGTAGCATCAGAGGAGCAGGAAAGTTGACGCTTCAGGTCAGGACCCGAAACATCAACTTTCCTACTTCTCTGATGCTGCCTGACCTACTGTGTTCTTACAAAACATTGTTTGTCAATTTTTGTCCATTTAAAAAAAAGGAAAACGGGCATTTGAGATCTTGATGAATAGGATAAACAGAATGCATGTACCCTGAACCAATGGCATTTAATGAGCGAGAAAGAGAGGAAGGGCAAAAAGAGTATGATTAGTTAGTGTGGATGAATTTAATGTGCAAACTATGTAAAGAGAGGAAAAGAAAAATTGGACAGGAGTAGAAGGGAGGGAGGGTGTGCGTGAGAAAGAGAGAGCGAGAGAGAGAAGAGAAATTGATTAGTAGTCATTGTGGTGACAGGAGTATAAAGCTTACATCTTCTATTTTTGTATTGGAGTTCAACACGAAGCAGGTGGATGTGAGTCAGTGCTGTGAGGTTTTCTTCTGAAAATGTTAAAAAGACATTTGGGCGGTGATCTAAATATATTAGTTCCAAGGAAATAAGTAATTGCAGTTGAGTGGCTGGGAGAACGCTGTAGTGTTAATAAATAAAATGTTTACTTTGTTGGGTATATGACAGGGAGAGTAAAGCAACTGGTTTAGTTTTGACTTCAGAACAGAAGATTCAAAGTTTTAGTTCAGAACAACTTGCATTCAGTTCAATAGGTAGCACAGTTTTTCTGGGCAGTGCAATCAAATCAGTTCAGGGGAACCAGTCATCTCAGCAGAAACAGTTTCTAGTCTGTGAAGCTTCCATGGAGAGTTTGGATAGAAATCTGCAAGTTGTTAGAACTGAAAAGATTTAGGGTATGAGAATTAAGAGAGGCTCATGCCAGCAGACTGGAAAAAGAATCATAAAAAATGGTCTCAATAGTTCAAGGGGAAGAAACTGAAAAGCATTGGTTAAGCAAAGAAAGGGTAGGAGTGATAGCTTTCTGTGATTTAGTCACCCTAAGTGAAGGGGTTGGGCAACGGGTTGAAACTGCTTTGTGTTAAGATCTTTATAATTGCTTGCCTTTTTGTGTAATTAACTTCTATTATGGTACGAGATATGATCAAGACAAGTTTGATGATAATACTGAACAAAATTATAAAATTATAAACCAAATTATTAATCACAATTGTTATGGGACACAAGGAGGCGGTTTGGCCCATTGTGTCTGTACTAGTTCTATTACTTAGTATTAATCTCCTGTTTTTCCCCATATTCCTATTCCTGCACATCGTTGCTATTCAAATAACAAATCAATGCCCTCCTGAATGCTTCAATTGCACCTGCCTCCACTACATTTTGAAGCAGTGAATTCCATAATAATAAGCTTTCCTTATATCATCCTTCAAGTGCATAGATTTTCATTTTTTGTCGGCTTCTCCCTACTCTATCCATCACATTCATGCTATGGGCGGCACGGTGGCTCAGTGGTTAGCACTGCTGCCTGACAGCGCCAGGCACCCGGGTTCGATTCCACCTTTGGGCGACTGTCTGTGTGGAGTTTGCACATTCTCCCCGTGTCTGCGTGGGTTTCCTCCAGGCGCTCCGGTTTCCTCCCACAGTCCAAAGATTGCAGGCTAGGCGGATCAGCCATGCTAAATTGCCCATAGTGTTCAGGGATGTGGGGTGGGATGGGGTATGGGGGGGGTGGGATGTCTGACGGTCGATGTGGACTTGTTGGACTGAAGGGCCTGTTTCCACACTGTAGGGATTCTATGTGCTCTGTGTGTGTGATGATGATTCTGAAAAGAGCTATCAAATTTTCTTTTAGCTTTCTTCTCTCCAAGAAGAACAATCCCAACATCTTCAAATCTATATTCACAACTGAAGTTTCTCCTTCCTGGAACCATTCTTCTAAATCGCTTCTAGACTCTCTCCAATGCATTCATATCTTTCCTGCAATGCGCTGCCCACAAACGCCTGGTGCCCTAATCTGTACACAATTAGTCCAACTGAGGTCTAACAAGTGTCTTGTACAAGTTCAGCATCGCCTAACTGTTCTTGTACTCTATTCCTCTATTAATAAAGCCAAGAACACTATATACTTTAGAAACTGCTTTTTCCATCTGCCCTGCCCCATCAATGATCTGTGCTCATTGACATCCAAGTTTGGCTGCTCCTCTACCTCATTTAGAACTATACCCCCATTTTATACTGTCTTTGAATGTTCTTTTGACCAAAGTGCATCACCTCATCATTATTACTTAGTAGACTAAATTATGAACATGTTTAATGGCCAGTTAATGTGTAAATACAGCAACGTCATGAAAAATAAGGACAGGTTAAGTGTTGGACACCATTTTTAATTCATTATGGGCAACTTAGAGTAACTATCATCGCTTGCTCAATAAACGTTACTGGTTGATTTATGCATCATTCTGGCATCGTTACATACGAAGCACAACACCTGGCCTTCTACTTATGCTTCAATCCAAATCTCAGAATACCAGTTGAATTTTGGAAATGAGGGGCTGGGCGATTGAATAATTTAGTATTATATATTTGTACTTTTCATTAGTTCTGCGATCAGGGCCTGAAACTATCATATACTTTTTCAAGCATTAACGTTCTTGCTGGCATAGAGGATTTTTGCCTGTCTGGATTAGTTTTAAACTCAAGTAAACTTAATAGAACCCAGGATATTAATCCCCATACAACTAAATTTCTCTATCCCAAACTTTCAATTCTGAATTGCAGTTTTTTAAAAAAATGTTGTACTAATTATGTGTAAATACCTAGGCAATATTAAGCATAATCTATTAATTGTTAGGAGTACTAAATTTTTATTACCTTTAATTTGTTCATAGCATGTAGGTACGTTATTCTGGTCAGTATTTATTAGTTGTATCTAACTGGCTGAGAAGGGGTGATTAACCTTTTTCTTTAACTCCTGTGTATATGGGTAGTCCCACAGCACTGTTCAATAAGGAGTTTCAGGGTTTTTAAAAAGAAGAAAAGTGATAAGTTCAAACTCAGAACAGTGTACAACTGGAAGGGAAACTTGCAGTTTGTAGAATTCCTATGCACCTGTTGTCTTGCCTGTCTAAATAGTGGATGCTATGTGTTTGAGAGGTGTTGTCAAAGCAGCATTTTGGCAAGTTATTGCAGAGTATTTTATAGGTAGTACACATTGCAGACAGTGTGTGCTGCTGATAAATAAGTGAATGTTTATGATGGCACATGGAGTGTCATTCAAGCAGGCTTGCTTTGTACTACATTGTGTCAATCCTTTTTGAGTGTGGCTGGAACTGGATTTATCCAGGCAAGTGAATTATATTAGAGACAACAAGGTGCAGGGCTGGATGAACACAGCAGGCCAAGCAGCATCATAGGAGCAGAAAGGCTGACATTTCGGGCCTAGACCCTTCTATTCATTTCTGAAATTGTGCCTTCAGATGATGGAAAGACTTTGGGAAGTTGTAACAGGTGGTGAATCACCTAACACAATACTGAGCTTTTTATCTGCTTTTACAGCCATAGTCTAGGTATGGTTCCTCCAGCTACATTTCTGATCAAGGGAAAATATCTAGACTCTCTTGCTAGTGACACACTAGAACAGCTTGACTAGAAGCTTGGTCAATTCCAGAGCATGTGACTTCGGCACTACAGCTGGTGATATTGTCAAGGATGATAGCCCTTGCTTTATCAGGCTGTTGATCTTTGTGGAGTGAATTGAAATGGCTCAGGAAAGCCTCCTATGATGGTGGGACTTCAGAAGAAAGCTGAGGTGAATCATTGACTTGGCAGTCAAAGGTATT